AGGCATAAAAATCATCACGACACCTTTAATTCCTTCCACAACCTCCACTAAACCATTGGAGAACTCAAGCAAATTATTTGCAAAAACTAGGTGTGAGATATTAAGAGACTTGCAACGTGGATGATATGGTATACTACCTGCTGATATAGCTTGGATAACAGACAGGAGAACACCTCCATTGCAATCACAAAAAGAGAGGGGGAGAATGGATCCCCCTGCCTAAGCCCCTTACCACCAGGGAAATAACCACATAAGTCACCATTCAAACACACACTGAACATAGGGGAAGTCACTGTGAACAAACCAATATGAAAAATGCATGGCAGTCATGAGAGAAAACATAAAAGTCCAATTTACTTAATCAAAAGCCTTCATTAAGTCAATCCCGACTACATACCTAGGTGCAATAGATGGTTTGTTGTAGTCCTTAACCAACTCTGAGGCCATAAGAATATTATCACAAATCAGTCTTCATTTGATAAAAGCTGATTGTGCATTTCCAATCAAGATGGTAAGATATTTGGACAGTCTATTGGCTAACACCTTTGTAATGCCTTTGTAGAGCACATTTTATTAGGACATGGGACGAAAGTCCTTCATTCTTTCTACATTAGCTATTTTAGGAATCAAAGTAAGAATAGTATGATTAATCTTCCTAGGTAAATTACATGTTTCAAAGAATTGCAGCACAACATCCTTTACATCCTTTCCCACAATACTCTAATCAGCCTTGTAGAAGTCAGCAGGATAGCCATCCAGGCCTGGTGCCTTGTCTGATGCCATGGACATAAAAACAAACTTGATCTCCTAACGAGTTACCACCTTCTACAAATCACTAGCTCCAGTGGCGGACCCAGAAAATTTATTAAGAGTATTCAATAAAAAATCTAAATAAAATTAAATTTTAATTTACAAAGTTTATTTCATAAAGTAGATTAATTTGTTGTTTCTCTTTATGGTAAATTGCGACGTATTTTTTTATTTTAAAAAATTCATATAATATATAAAAATAATGGCAAGACATAAAAATGTAAGCGTTTTAAGTTTTAAAGAGCGGAGATTTTTATTCTCTTTTTTACTTGGAAGAGTTTTTATTCTCCAAAGAGGAAAATAATGTTAATTAAAAATTAAAGAGATTTGCTTAGGCAAATAGGTTTAGGAATTATGAATTAATTTGACTCCTCATATATTTTCTTTGTATTTGTATAACAACAATTGGATGGAAATTTGAATTTGAAAGTCCAAGGGTTGTCAAATTAGTTAGGTATATTTTCTTTGTATTTGTATGAAATCAATAGCCACCTGTCCCAACTGCTCTACATTAGTAACCAACAAACCATCCTCAAAAACTAGATGATCAATAGTCTGCTTCTTATTATGGATTCTCACATAGTTATGGAAAAAAAAAGTATTAGAATCCCCTCCCAAGACCCAATACACTCAAGATTTCTGTTTGATAAAACTTTCCTCTGCAGCTTGAGCTTCAAAACAAGCCTAAGCCAGCTGTCTCTCCCTTTCCACATTCTCCTCAGTAGGTCCAACAAATATCTCATCATGTACATGTACCAGTTGGTTTTCAGCCTCCCTAGCTCGAGTAAAGCGTCAGAATATACAGTTCGGTTAAGAACCTTAAGCTTCTTCTTCAATCTCAAAAGCTTCAGGAAGAGATGATGAAAATGATCCATCCAGGACTCCTATGTCAGAATCATCCCAAGCAGATTTCAATAAGTCCAAATAGGCGGGGTGGGTTCTCCAAAATTTGAAGAACTTAAATGGTTTTGGGATACTCTTCAACCCACTGCATGTCAATACCAACAAACCACAATGGTCAGATATACTCGGGCTCAGGGTTATAGCTGTACTGGATTGAAAACTATCCAACCAAGAGCCATTCACTAAGACTCTATCTATACGTCTGGCAATAGGATTAGATTGTTGTTTATTCCACCACGTATACCAGGATCCTATGACCCTATGATCTACCAGGTTCATATCATCAATCCAATAATGGAAGTCCATCATGCTCTGGTTCACTACCGAGGGTTGGAAGCGTTATTGATCTCAGCTATGGCATTAAAATTAGGGGTGGTAAACGGTAATCCGGTAAACGGTTTACCGTTTTACTGAACCGGTAACCGGCGGTAAACGGTAAACCGTTTACCGGCGGTATCGGCAGCTGAGTGGGAAGTTGGGGGAGTCGATTTACTGGACACGGTATCGGTAAATACCGACGGTAAATCGGTATTACCGATACCGAATCCCCCTCCCTACTCCCTAGTGATGCGCTACGTTTTGTTGCTTTATTATGAAAAATATTACATCATTATTCACAAATATAAAATATTACATACATGAATGTAAGTATAGGCCTCAAAAATATTGTAAATAAGAGTTAATAATAAATTATTAATTACAAAAATGATGAAAAAACTCAAAAAAATCAAAATATTACAACATCACCCCACTTCCAGAAATTCGGTTCGGTAAATATTCGATAAACCGACCGAAAACCGCCTGAAATCGCTTCTCACGGTATTTCGGTAATACCGGTTTTTAATCTTTTACCGGTAATCGGTAAACCGATTACAAACCGGTATCGGTAATCGGTAACCAGTTTGGCCAACTTCGGTATACCGAAACTGGTAAATTCGGTAAACGGTAAATTGTTTACCGACCAAATCCCACCCCTAATTAAAACATCCAAAAACCACCCATGTTACCTCATCCCGACGACAAACTCTCAAATCCTTATATAACTGAGCCCTCCGCAACATTTTATTAGGGCTATGGACTGCAATGTCAATCAACTCTTCAGTTTTTTAAGTAACTTTCACATGAAGGAAGTGCTCCCCAGATTCCAATTCAGTAACCCGCAAACCATTCCTCCACATCAACCAGAACCGGCCAGAAGCATACTTATTATAATTGTCCATAAACTCCCATTCTCTAAACTGCCCTTTAACTATAGGATCAACATTTTCAGGTAAAACTCTAGTCTCTAACAAAGCAACTAAATCTACTTGATGTTTATTTAACTGACTTTATATATACATGTGCTTCTCATGGGTATTGAATCCCCTAACATTCCATGAAAGCAGAATCATCGATGCTTGCCCCTCCCACACCCTCAACAAGGAGGCGGAGCTTTAGCCTTTGACTTGGTATGGGATTGAGAACTAGAGCTACTAGCCTTAGCAGTCGAACTAGCAACCTGTGCAACTGACACTAGTTCCACTGATTCCATGACTTCTTTTCCTTTACCCTTACCAAGAGACAAAGCCTTCAGACAAGTACCCGCAGGACTAGAACACTGAGCTGCTAAGATAATACGGAATCCCCTCGGTGTAGTAGCATCAGTACTGAAGACTACCCTGACTGGGGAGAGCAAATGATTAGAAGGGAGCTCCCGACTAACCACCCCTGATTTTTCCTGCCAAGCCACCTCTTGCCCTTCAGCCACCTTGCACTCAGGGCCAGTACCATGACCATGAGCATGACCAAAAAACTGACACTTGGGGCATTTTGGTGGCAAGCGTAGGTACTTTACAGAGAGATTGAACCCCACATCACCTTCTGGCTGAACTCGAATGGACTCCTGAAGAGAAGCATCAACACTTAGGGATTAATTGCAAGTTTGGTCATTGAGTTTATTAAAAGCGTTCATGTTTAGTCACTCGAAATATTTAAATCTATTAGTGATCATTCGAATTAGTAAAATGATCCACGTTTAGTCACTCTCCATTAGTCTTCGTTAACATCGTTAGTCAATTGTTGACGTGGCTAACAAAATTGCCGACTCACCCAATTTTAACCCGCCACTTCATCAAATCCGACCCGCCACGTCACTCAACCCACTACCTCAGTTTCCCCAACCCAGCCCATAAACCAACCCTCCACCTCCAGAACCACCGTCGCCAAGCAATCGCTCACCACCTCCTCATCCATGGCCATCCTCATCTCCTTGCCGTAGTGAATCAGTGTAAGACCTGTTTATCGTGCACCTCCACTGGCGAATTTGTGCGGGACCAGCATTCTTGAAAAGGGATATGAATGAATAAATCCATTTTTCTTCTTCTTTCTTTTTCTTACAAGCCGAGAAAGGCACCCCATGGAGGATTCCTTAACCCCTGATTAATAGATCAGAAGCGATGGAGTATTCAAGGCTCCACTGCACAGGGGAGCTTTGAACACAAAGAGGACAAGGAACTCTGTTTCTTTTTTTGCCCTACCAGAGACCGATAAGCTGGTTGGACCGGTGGAAGCTCTTGTTACAAAGAAAGAAGAAGAAAAATGGATTGATTCATTCATATCCCTTTTCAAGAGTGTTGGTCCCGCATGAATCCGACAGTGGAGGTGCACAATAAGCAACTCTCACGCCGATTCACTATGGCAAGGAGATGAGAATGGCGATGAATGACGGAGGATGGAATTCTGGAGGCGGTGAGCGATTGCTTGGTGGCGGTGGTTCTGAAGGCGGAGGGTTGGTCACGATTGTGCAGGGTTGATTTATGGGTTGGGTTGGGGAAACTGAGGTAGTGGGTTAAGTTACGTGGCAGGTCAGATTTGGTGATGTGGCGGGTTAAATTAGGTGAGTCAGCACTTCTGTTAGCCACGTTGGCAATTGACTAACGGTGTTAACAGAGACTAACGGAGAGTGACTAAACATGTACCGTTTTACTAATTCGAGTGATCACCAATGGATTAAAATATTTCGAGTGACTAAACATGAACGTTTTTAGTAAACTCAGTGACCAAACTTGCAATTAACTCCTACACTTAGCTTAAAACATATCTTAGCCACCCCACGTTTGCACCTCACTTGGTATCTTAGTTATTTGTGTCGCCCAAACTATGGTTCGATCATGATTGACATTTTTTTGGATGCAAATTTTAATAGAAGGGCATGTTTGAAATTTTTTCTAAAATAGATAGACATATTTGGTATAAAAATAGTAAAAAAGCATATTTTATAAAATAGATAGAATTATTTCCACTAACGCCGATTACTGTAGCGCAAGATACGTTTTACTATTCATACAGACTCATTTTTACTATTCACTTGGCTCTGATTGGCTGTCGTTTTCCGTTGCCTCTGTTCCTGTGCTGCGAGCTGACTTCTAGTGTAGCGGTGCCGCCGTTTGGGTTATGTTTCCCTCTGCTTTGTACTCTGGGTCCCCTGCCTCTCACGCACCGGCCTCGAATCACGTGATGGATATCCGGGCACGTTCTTTTTGCCCCTTTCTTCGTGAGGTGGTTTTGCTCTTTGCGTTTGCCTTTGTGGTGATGATTGCGTCCTTGGGAGGCGGTGCCACTGCGTGCAGGTGCTTGGGAGGTGGGATGCTGTCTGCAGGTTGATGGGTTCATTGGGAGAAAGATATTTGATGCGACTCAGCCCACCCATAGGAAACTCGGTCCGTCCCACTAAGAAACTCACTCGACCAACAACTTTTCCAAACGCTGCTGCACACTCCTGTTTCGCACCTTTCGCCGTTCTCTCTCATTCTTCTGCATTCTCTAGTTTCGTTCGCTTGGTTGCTTTTTCGAATTATGGAGTTCACACTTTTATGCAATCTCGGCGGACCGAAGAAGGAATCTGTGGTGCTCCGCCTTCGGCTGCTCCACATGTGGGCTGTGAAGGCTCCGGGCGATGTCAGAGTCTTCAACTTCTGCACTCTCTGGGTGGACAAAACGGTTCGTTGCATGAATTCTTTGCTTATTTTACCATGCAAGTGGTCTCACCTGCTGCGTTGCTCGCTCTTTTTTTTACTCTTTTGCTTCTTGACGTAGGGGATGTTGATTCATGGCCTTTCTCCTGCTGCGATGGCATCTGGGATCCGCCAAGCGTTGCGTGTGGATAAGATATACATGCTCAAGACATTTTGCCTCAGCAACCCGCCGAATCTCTACCGAGCGTGCTCTTTTGATCTTGCTCTCGGCATCACTCCGTCAACATCTTTCCACGAGTGTCATCTTCCTGCTCCGAGCTTTACCGTTGAAGCCTATGAGTTCCAGCCTTTTGCAAGGTTGCTCTCGCGTGCTGGTGATCATCGATAGTTGACGGGTAGACCATGTCGACTTTTGTTATGTGTTGTTCAGTTCTTGCTTATCTTTATCCATTTCTCTTAACTTTGTTAGATGTGATTGGTCGTCTGCACTCAATCAGTGGTGTGTCGCACAAGATCACAAACAATGGCCCCGCTGTCAAGCAGACAGTCGTGCTTGAGAATGAGAGGTTGGTTTTGTTGTTTGGTTGTTTTGTTGGCTCGTGTGATGTCCTTTTGTGGGTGTTCATTGTTTTATTTGTTTATTGTCCAGTGGGGAGAAGGTTACGATCACTCTGTGGGATGAATTCTCAAGGATAATCGATCACGTGGCGCTTACTCAGGCAGATGCGATTGAGACCGTTGTCCTTGCTTTTGGGGAGCTTTTGGTCAATAGATTGGCAGGTGTGTCACCTTCATTTTGTGTTGTCTCGCCGTTGTCCTTCTGTTCTCGACCATATTTTAACGACTCTGCTGGTCTAGGTGGGTTTGCTCTGTCCAACTCGGCAGCTACTCACGTGTCGGTTAATCCGCAGGTCCTAGAGGCATACCGCTTTGCACAGAGGTAATGGTTTGCAGTTGTTTTTGTGGTTTGCTGGTTTTAGTCGGTTGTGCTCATTTATTTTGTGGTTCCTTTTGCGGGGTCAGGTTTGCTGAAACACGTGAAGTAGTTGGTTCTTTACCCATTGAGTTTGCCACGACGGAGGAGGCTACTGCGGATGCAGAAAGGCGGACAAGGACATTAGCACAACTTACTGATCTTGCTCTGACTAATGCTTCTTTGGTCTGTGCCGGCCTACGTCGTTGTGTTGTCTGCGCCTGGTTTGGTTTGCTAACTGTCGTTATTTGTTTTACAGGATGAGAGGCATCGTTGTGGTGGAGTGATTATGGACGTTGAATCGCACGTCCCATGGTACTACAATTCATGTAGGTTGTGCAACAAGGCTATTTCCCGACGGCGTGATAATACGTTTTGGTGCCCTAAGGATTGGCAGTTGCAGGAGGATCAAACTAGGGTTTGGTTAGTGAATTGGGAAACTAGGCTCTTTGCTCTTTTTGACCAGCTTTGTTTTCATTTCTGTTGATGTTCTATTTTTTTCGTCCAGACACTTGCGCCAGTCCATTCACATACCAGTTTATCTAATTGTGAAGGAATTATCAAACAATTTATGCTTTTATGGTTTTGCAGTGTGGAATCTCTTTTGCAATTCGAACCACCTCATTTTGTGACTCCTATGGTCATTTTGTAAAGTACAGAATGCCAGTCTCTGTGTGACTAACATGGATGCTGAATGTTACATTGTGCGGCCATTGCTGAATCAGCATGTAGTACCATTTTGCGTAGTTAAGTTGGTGTGGTCGGCCATGACACTGCTACCCAGTAATGAACAGATTCCAGTTTAGCTATTTCCATGTGTTTGTTCTTACAGTCTTCGCATTTCATTAACAAATAATGGCAAAATTAAACTTGACCCGCGACAGAGCGCGAGCTAATTACTAGTTATATCTATAATCCTATAGATTTTTTTTAATAGAATCCTATAGATTAATATGACTATTTAAATGCATCTATTTCTGAAATACTAAAGTTTTTTTTTTTGAAAGGAATGAAATACTAAAGTTTAGGGTATGATTACGTACGTAGTCGGGTGGCCAAATCGAAATTGGTATTTCACATGGAACAGGAAACCGGATCGTACCGGCAGGTTCAACCGGGAACCGGACCAAAAACGAAACGATATGCCTTATGTTAAAAAAATATCGTATCGGCCGGTTTTTAGGTCGAACCGGTCTGCCGCGAAATACCGGCTAGTTTTGAATCTACCGGCAATAGGCTGCTTGCGAGGAAACTCTCCGACTAGATGGGCCTTGTCACTGCCTCCGCGCCGCGGCCACTACTGCATCTTCACCGCCGACCCGTGTCGCCAGCCACAGCTGTCGCTGCTATCGTGCTTGTCAGGCCATCCCTTAGCCACTCTCCACCGTTATATGCCTGGCTGCTCGGACGCAGAAGAAGATGAAGAGGAAGGAAGCGATTGTTTGAAAGAAGAAAGAGAGGGAAGGAAGCTCCATGTTATCGCGGCCACCATATAAGAAAGAAGGATGAGATCTGACTTCAGAAATTTTCTTGGTTCTTTTTTATTTTTGTCATATCTTGATTCAATTTTTAGTTACCGGAATAAAAGAGGGGAGAGACGAGAGAAGATTTGGAGATGCAGAGTGAAAGGAAGGTGACAGCCGCCTAGGGTTTCACCATGTTTCCATGGGCCTTATTTTTCTTTTTTTAAAGAAATCCATGGGCCTTATTAGTTAGTTGGTAATGGTGTGATATTATGTGATTATTTAGTATTTATTGTCCGGTATTTCCGGTATAATTCGGTATTACTTCGAAACGGTACTCTGATTTTGCCGGCACGGTTTTTTGACAAAAAAAATATTTTACTGTTATAAAAACGATATTTACCGGTATGAAATGATTGAACCACGGTCGTACCACAAAATACCTTACAAGAAAGAAATCCGGTATGATATCCGGTACGGTTTCCTGAACCATGGTATTTCACCCCAAATTCATCGATCAAGCAACGCGGAGACACGTGTAAGTATACATCTTCTTGAACCGTGCCGCGTCGGAACTACACGCCAGAATCTTGGAAAAAATCCCAAGTTACACATGTTTTTAAAAAAAATTCTCAAAATACACACGTTATGAAAATAATTCCCAATCTACGCATGTTTGGGCCATCACCGCTGTCGACGAAGACAGTGATTGCATCACCGCTGTCGACGAAGACAGTGATTGTATCACTGCAGTACACGGCCGCGGTGAAGGCCTGACCTGCGTCGAAACTTTAAACAAACGTAACTTTGTGCTCGGTTATCCGATCGTAGCGAAATTTTTTTTGATTCCGCATAATTTTTCGAGATCTTGCAAGTCAAAAATTGCCGTAGGCGGTTTGGTCCCGCCTTCATCTCAAAAATATGTCGTTTGCTACCCCGAACGAGCCTTTTTTCGATTTCGTCAAACTTTGAACGACCATAACTTTGTGCTCCACAATCTGAAAATCATGAATTTTTTTTGATTTCGCATAACTTTTTAAGGACTACAATTTTTATCATAGACATATTTTCGGAATGTACTTGGATTCCTGAAAAGGAAGGTAAAGTTATTCCCGAAACCCCTTATATCCATAAATAATTCATTTTTTGAAAATTCTCTCCTACTAAAAATTGTAGTCCTTAAAAAGTTATGCGAAATAAAAAAAATTCATGATTTTTAGGATTGTGGAGCACAAAGTTATGGTCGTTCAAAGTTTGACGAAATTGAAAAAGGCTCGTTCGGGGTAGCAAACGACATATTTTCGAGATGAAGGCGGGAACAAATCGCCTACGGCAATTTTCGGCTTGCAAGATCTCAAAAAATTATGCGGAATCAAATTTTTTTTTGCTACGATCAGATAACCGAGCACAAAGTTACGTTTGTTTAAAGTTTCAACGCAGGTCAGGCCTTCACCGCGGCCGTGTACTGCAGTGATGCAATCACTGTCTTCGTCGACAGCGGTGATGCAATCACTATCTTCGTCGACAGCGGTGATGGTCCAAACATGCGTAGATTGAGAATTATTTTCATAACGTGTGTATTTTGAGAATTTTTTTTAAAAACAATGTGTGAGATTTTTCCCCAGAATCTTCCGCTTTACCTGCTCCGAGCTTTCTCCTCTTATTGCGTCCCTTTAGTCGGCGAGAATGGAAAAACTCAAAAAAGTTGCGCCTGCAAACTGAGATTCGTAGCCTGAATTCCTCGCATCGACACCAACCATTCGCCATTCCGGTTAGGGTTTTGATTCGATCGCCGGATTTCTAATTCCTTTGCTTCTGAAAGGTATCGTCTCCTCTCCCTGTTCTCGTCATTTCTTCAATTCTCATTGCATTTGCCGCTCCCGTGAGCTCCTTACTCTATTTAGCGACGAACTTGGTGTTGTCAATCGCCTTCTTTTCTTCGAGAGTGTCGTGCTATCTAGTGGATGAGCCGTTGAAATCGGCACTGTTGACGTGATGTCTTCCAAGTTACTTTTTGCTGAACTTATGAAAATCTGTTCCTCTTCTGGGTCAATCTAAGCTCCGGTTAGTTGCTTTAGGCAAATGATTTTCATTAGCTGGATTACTTAGCTTTGAGTCGCGTTTGTTGCTTGTAGAATTGTGTATTGTGATTATTGAAGTGAATAGAGGTTAGGTTCTCCATAATTGGAATTGGTCTGTGTTTTCATTATACAAGCGGATGATCATCGGGTTTGTGACTGATTAGCTGCTGCATGTTGCTATTTCATTGAACCAGTTGTCTGAAAATGCAAGGAGGAAGGGGAGGCGGGGATCCGTTCTTTGGTTTCGGTGGTGATCCATTTGCTGGTTTTGGGGGATTTGGAGGGCGGAGGAGCATGTTGCCTGGCTTATTCGACGGAAGGAACCCATTCGACGATCCTTTCTTTACTCGTCCATTTGGAGGAATGTTCGAGTCCAGTATCTTTGGCCCCCATGCAAATCCTTTCGCGCCAATGCATCCACCAACATATATTGAGCATCAAGCTCCAGTACCCAATAGATCACAAGGACCGACAATTGAGGAACTAGAGTCTGATGACGAGAAGCAGGATGCTGATAAGGAGAGGAAAGAGAACTCCAGAAAGCATGGGAGGTCTGGTAAAGGGCCATATGTTGAGGAAGTGGATGACGAAGCTGAAGGTGAGCTTTTGGTTGTCTTACTGTGAAGTTCACGCCTGTGATTATGTAGAGAGTTACATATGAACCATTGCTTAGCTGAGAAATTTGTATGCAACAGGCAGGCAGCGCAAGCAGTTGATGGCTGAAAATAGGCACAACAGTTTCAGTAGAGTTCAGTCTCGGCCTCAAAGTCAGAGCTTTGTGTTTCAAAGTTCAAGTGTCTCCTATGGTGGTGCTGGTGGAACTTACTACACTTCATCCAAGACAAGGAGAACAGGAAATGATGGGGTGAGGTCCTCTAGCTATGGAAGGTTATTGCAAGCTGCTGTTTTCGTCTTCTTGTCTTGTATGTTATTATAACTTTGACTGGAAAACAGGTAACATTTGAAGAAAGCAAAGAAGCTGATAGTTCTACAGGCATAGCATCTCATAGGATTTCCAGGGGGTTACACAACAAGGTACCTGAATTATTTGTGGCTGTTATCGGTTGCTGCATCTATGGTGTATTTGGATTTGAATTTTTTTTTTTGGAATAATTTGGATTTGATTGATGTTGTTTTTATCAATGCCCACAGGGTCATACCGTAGCACGTAAGCTTAACTCTGATGGGAATGTGGATTCACAGCAGATCCTGCACAATATTGAGCAAGGTGAGCTTCCTAATTCTAACTTCTTAATGTTTGTCCCAGCATAATGTGCGATATAGCCTAATTTCCCCCATCCTGTGTTTCTAGATGAACTTGCTAGTTTTGAGCAAGCTTGGAATGGTAGTGCTGGACCTCATTTGCCTGGCTGGGGAAGGAACTTCAGTGTTCGTGAGGATATGAGTAAGAATAATTTTGGCTTTATGTCTTTTTCGTTTTTGTTCAGCTGTACAAGAGTCCTTTGCTTGAAGTTTTCATGAACTGCTTGTCCTTGTTCTTGATGTCTGGGACTGTGAAGAGTCGGTCGTTTGTCAAGTTACTCAGGAATGTGCTGCTGGAACTTGTATTGCTATTTTCTATCTTCTTCTATCTCAATGTGGTAACAAATTTCTACCACCAACTCCTATTGCTCAGGGGCCATTGGGAGTGGACAGAATAATCCACAGACTGGTCGTGGAGGGTGGGCCCTTCCTTCAACAGAACGTCCGAAGCCGATGATTGGGCGGTCTGTAGTAAACCACCCGGTAGAGCGGAGCAGATCTTCACGCCGGCAGGACTTGGGGAAGGCAAAACATGCAGATGGCAGAGACAAGCATCACCATTCTTCCGGATGGGGAGGAAGAGATTAGGCACCAGATGACAAGAATCGCCATTCTGCTGCTTTAAGCTTGACCCACTGCAAATCTCAAGTAGATAGTCTACTATAGACTATAGTCTCTATATATATTATAGCTGTGTTTCACATATGGATGAGTGTTCAAGGCATGCAGATTGTAATCATGCAACGGCGAGAAAATGTTACGCTTTTTCAACATGACAATGCTACTTACTCCATATGGAGTAGTTAGTGCCAAATGGTGTGGCATGAAAATATCCGGATTGTTGAAAATAGCAGGCAAAGATCAGGTACATAGAATGTTATTGATCTGGACGCAAGAAGGTCGCTTTATATTAACCGAATTTCTATCATCAGATACCTAAAACCAGCATGCCGTTTGTTCTGCAATTAATCCAACATCATCATTTGTAACCAATTTCCATTGCCCCATTCTCCAAGTAGATACTAAACACAGACGTCGAAGAAGAAACACTCCATATCAGAAGAAAATATTATGCGTTCCAGAGATGGACGAAATTTCATTCCTCAGCATCTCCAGCAACAGGATTATCAGAATGCAGAAAATGCCACAAAAAGTAGGTTACAACATTTGCATGTGGCCTTGTGGGAGTTTTTAAAAAAGTATGCATGTGACTACATTGCTAGTATGCTGCAATGTCGAAGAAGGGAAATTGCCACTTTCCGTTGCTGATATCATTACCGTGTTCATAACTAGAACCCAGTAGGTGTTTTGTCATATACTTAAGAAAATCTCTCACTAAAGCATCTGCAGAAAGAGACCTGCAACAGACCAGATAGTGTTTGTCACACTATATATTGATCAACAAGGTTCAAGTGTCAGTAGCAGGCAAGCAAGCAACCTCTAAGTAAACCAGCTTGGTCACTGGAAAAATAAACGAAAATGAAAACCTTTTTCCTCATCTCCCTCACACGTTAATTTCCACTTTATTCTTCACCACCTTCTCTTTCTCCCATGAAGTAGGGCTGGAAATCCGGTCCCGGTTTTCCGGTCAAACCGGAAACCGACCAGTTTAAACCGTGCTGGTTGCAATCGGAAATCGGATCTCAACCAATCCAATCCCGTTTACGGTTGTAATGCTCACAAGCCCGGTCCGATCCAGTTAAAACCGAAAAAACCGGACAACAACAAATAAAAAATACAACCCAACCCAACCCAGCCCAGCCCAGTCCAGTCCGCCCCGCCCCCAGCCCAGCCCAGCTCGCCCCCAGCCCAGCCTAGCCCAGCCCGCCCAGCCCAGCCCGCCCAGCCTAGCCCGCCCCCCTAAACCCTAATTGCCGCCGCCTCCTCTGTTCTCACTTCTCTCTCCCTCTGACCCTCGAGCTTCTCTCTTTTCCAATCACCGACCCACCACACAAGAGTAGGAGAAGAAGAAAATCCGACCAGCCTCCATTTCGTCGCGGACCATCGCCACTCCGCCACCAGAACTCGACGACGATGGTGAGTGGTGACGGCGACGGAGCTCTCCAAATCCCCAGCGATGGCGATGGTGACGGCGACCGAGGAGATCTGATCGCTTGACACGCGATGGGCGACATGCATTGCCTCTCCAAAGTTTGTCTGCTGCCTTTCTCGCCCGATCTCCCCTTCTCGGCTCGCGCAACTCCAACCACTTCTCCAGCTCCAACTCTTCTCGCCTCTCTAACTTCTATCGAGCTCATAGGCAGAGCGAGCCAGAGGAGTGCTCAAGGGAGAAGAAGGCGATGCTTGGGTGTATTTGGTTTGATCTAGAAGAGGGAGAAGGAGAAGAACAATCGCGAAAGTAGATGGAAAGGAAGAATCGCGAGAGGAGCAGCGGCGAAGATTGAGGTTGGGGAATAGATTAGGGATTGAAGTTTGGTAGGATAGGGTGATTTTTTGTCATTCAAACGGCTGTGTTTTGGGGTGGAAGAGGAGATCCGGTTTTTTGGTTTAAACCGGATCAATCCAGTCCGGTCACGGTTGAAACCAGGTAACAATCCAATCCCGTCTTCGGTTGTGGAGTTCTCCAATACTGTAAAAAACGGGTCAATCCGGTCCGGTTTAAATCGAACCGAACTGTTTCCCAGCCCTACCATGAAGCATCAGAAGCTTCCGTGAAAATCGACTTGGAAACCTACATTGTGGTTGTAGAGAAACCAGATGACCTACTAGAATCCAATCTACACGAGTGGTACACCACATTCCTCCCAAAAGCTACTTCAAGCTTAATTCCAAACCAACAACGGATCGTCCACTCCTACCACAATGTTATCACAGGCTTTGCTGCTAAGCTCACCCCGCAAGAGGCCAAAGCAATGGAACTGAAGGAAGGCTTTATTTCAGCTAGAGTTGAGCGACCTGTCTCCCTTCACACAACCTTCACTCCCAAGTTCCTTGATCTGCAACAGAATGTAGGAGGTTGGAAGTCCTCACATTACGGCGAGGGAGTGATCATTGGTCTGATTGACACGGGGATAAAGCACGATCACCCTTCTTTCTTAGACAAAGGCATGCCTCCCCCGCCAGCCAAATGGAGAGGTAGGTGTGACTTCAATGGCAAGCGAACGTGTAACAACAAGATTGTCGGTGCTAGAAACTTCATATGGGATGTGGATGCCCCGGTGGAGGATATACCCCATGGGAGTCATACTGCATCGGAGCCCTGTAGAAGCCGCCAATGTATTTGGACAAGCGAACGGGACAGCCATGGTGATCGCGCCAAAAGCCCACTTGGCAATGTAAAAGGTCGGCATTGGGAGTAGCGCATTGGCAGCAATGGATGCTGTTATAAACGTGCTGCTACGGTTCGGAAAATTGTCGGAATCGATAAAGCAAGAATACGAAAGCGAGAATCCAAAAACACAGACACGATTTACGTGGTTCACTAACACGTTGTGTGTTAGCTAGTCCACGGGCGAGAGAGAGCCAGTTTCACTATATCAAGGAGATTACAGATTACAGAGGAGTATGAGAAGTAATATAGTACTTCTCCATGTAGGTCTAAACCTAATCCAATATGGCAAAGGAAATGGTTACAGACTAGGCCCAGAACCCGAACCCAAATAACATGAGCCCATCAACAGATGCAGCTATTGAGGAAGGTGTTGATGTGCTCACAATCTCAATGAGTTACTCCAATGGTAGTGTTCCTTTCTTCGACGACATATTTGCATTGGGAGCATTTAGAGCCATCCAGAAGGGTATCTTTGTGAGCTGCTCTGCTGGAAATGGTGGACCTTCTCCGAGTACAGTAACCAACGCCACGCCATGGAATCTAACCGTGGCAGCAAGCACGATTGATAGAGAGATCAGGGCGACGGTGAAGTTGGGGAACAATGTGGAGCTCTATGGCCAATCCCTCTTCCAGCCTAAAGACTTCCACTCAAAGCTGCTGCCGCTTGTGGACTCTGCTTCCAATGGTGAATCAGTAGCATTTTGTGAGAAAGGGTCACTGAAGAACATTGATGTTAAGGGCAAGATAGTCATATGCCAGGCAAGTTTTCCAGAGCGGAGAATCTTCCAGGGGCAAGAAGTTAAGGACAATGGTGGAGCAGGCATGATCTTGATCAACGGTGTCGAAGATGGTGACACTATTATTCCCGATGCTCATGTTCTCCCTGCATCATGCCTCAGTTACAAGGATGGATTGCTAGTCAAGGGTTACTTGAACTCCACGTCATCCCCAACCGTAGCAATCTCATTCCAAGGTACCTTGATCGGCAAGTCAAAAATCGCTCCACAAGTCGCCTCGTTCTCCTCACGAGGTCCTAGCCTGCTGTCTCCCGGGATGCTGAAGCCGGACATCATTGGCCCCGGGGTCAACATTCTGGCTGCGTGGGCAGAATCAGTCGACAATGCTACTAACTTATTCAACGTGGTCTCTGGAACTTCAAATGGCATGCCCACATCTGAGTGGAGTAGCAGCTCTCATCAAGAGTGCTCATCCGAATTGGTCCCCTGCAGCCATAAAGTCGGCCATCTTAACGACAGCTTACACGGGCGATCTCGGTGGCATCCTGATCTCCAACGAGCAGAATGTTCCTGCTACCGTTTTCGACATGGGTTCGGGCCATGTGGACCCATCCAAGGCACTCAACCCCGGGCTGGTTTACGACATCGAGCCGGATGACTACATTTCTTACCTCTGTGGGTTGGGTTACAACGACAAGCAAGTGAGAACGATCGTGCAACGAAAGGTGAATTACTCATCTTTGATACCGGAGAATCAGCTGAACTACCTGATATTCTCGATCATGCTGGCTCTCGGTGATAATCAGACGTAGACTCGAACGGTTTACTAACGTTGGTCAGGCTAACTCGAGGTACATGAGCGTGGTTGTTACATGGGAAGGGATCATTGGTGTTGAAGTCACGCCTAATGAGATCGAGTTCAAGGAGGTGGGAGAGAAAGCAAGTTACTCTGTTACGTTTACCAGGTTGAGGAATGTGGCAACAAGTAACAGTAGTACTACTAGTTTTCGTCAAGGCTCGGTGGTCTGGTCTGGTCATGATGATGATGGTGGTAAGTATGTGGTTACTAGCAACTTTGCGGTCGTCTTTGTTTGAAGAGGAGTTTATATGTAATGAAGCCGCTTAAATTAAAGAACGTTAATAAGATATCAGAGTTTCATATTACCCAATTGTTGTTGTTGGCAAGCAATCGGTTTGATTGAACAAATAATACAAGTTTCCGGGAAATGGATATTGGTTTGGGAAGAACAGAATGAACAGAGGGAGCCAGAGTCATCTCTCCTCTGTTTGATCGATTAACTGCCAAGGTTTCTACTTTGGGCCTGTTAGTAGTTGAGGCCCAGTGTTTCCGTTGGGCTTAGCGTAGTTGCATTGCCCATTTAGGGTAAATCACAAGTATGGTCACTTAGTTTACTAAAATGTGTCATGTTTAGTCACTGAAAAAAATTAATATCAATTTTGGTCACTAAGATTAGTTTAACGGTCTAAATTTGGTCACTCTCCGTTAGTCTCCGTCCAACTCCGTTAATGAAGTCCGTTAAGTGCTTACGTGGCAAACAAAATTGCCTAATCAGCCAGATTTAACCCAAAAATACTAAACCCGACCCGCCACATCATCATGACTCGCAGCGTCATCTTTCCCAACCCACCCAATGAACCCAACCCATGAATCGGTCATGCCTTATCGAGTTGCCCACTTGCCCCACTTCTCCAAATCTACTCTCTCTCTCATCTAACCCAGCAGATCTACAAACCCCCACCACCATCTCTCTTTTTCTTCTTCTTCTTCTCCAAAATCATCTGGTCCAATCCCATCACCATATCTCTAAGCAACCTCCTGACTTAGATATCTGCAACACCTCTCTTCCCTCAATTAATTCTCGCCAGTGACCCCACCAACCATGCCTCTCCTCCTCCTCCCTCCTTCGTCGCCTTCTTCCTCCTCCTACGCAAGTTACTCAAGCCCATTGCAAGAGATTCCAAATCTGGCCACCGCTAAATGCTACGTTAATCCTCTCCGTTCCCTATGCTAAATGTTGTGCGGAAGAAATCATCTATGCCAAAAAAATCTTCAATTGCAGGTGAATCCAAATCTGACCAACATTGGTTTCTCAACTACCAGGGACTTTAGGAGGAGAGATGAGAAAGCTTTTGGCGGTTTTTTGGGATTCACATAACAGGTGGGGTTCGAATCTCGTACAGGCTCGTCATCTGGCATTCCTAGGACCCAGATTCAACAGCAAATTGCCACGGTGAAGGTGGCGACGGAGGTTCGAATACTCTGTCCCCTGCGGATGGCAACATCAGATTTTGGCAGTGGAGAAGAAAGTGAGGATGATGCTCCAATGTGGCAGAATTGGGGTGGATGATCGATTTACAGAGCAGAGCTGGGCTCGAAGGCGACGGAGAGTGGTTAACGACCGATTTGCAGACCAGAGTTGGTGCTAGCGGGGGCAGATTTGTTGGTTTCGTCGACTTTTTGGCATCGATCTAATGGGATTTTGTTTTGTTTGTGTTTGTTGGAGTGGATCTTTGTTGGTGATCATGAAGATGGAGAAAGAGAGGGAGAAGCAGAAGGCTGAGGAGGCGGAGGAAAAGGTTGAGAGAGGTGGAGAAGGGTCAAGATGATCTGGTCGGGGCGGGTTAGGGTTTGTATTGGTTTGGGTAGACTGAGGTGGCGTGTTATAATGATGTGGTGGGTCAGGTTTAGTATTTTTTTTGGGTTAAATTCGGCTGACGAGGAAATTGCGTTTGCCCTTAACGGACTCCATTAACAGAGTTGGACGGAGACTAACGAAGAGTGACCAAACTTGGACCGTTAAAATAATCTTGATGATCAAAATTGATATTAATTTGTTTCATTGACTAAACATGACATATTTAGTAAACCCAATTAGGGTTAATTCCTTAAATATTGTTTTTTTTAATCTACCACGAATATAGTGTTTTGAAAAGTATTTACAAGAATATTGTGTTTTTTTATATGTTTAAAGCGCCAAAGCCTTAGACTCAGGCGCTGCCGCTGGATGCTTTTTTAACGAAAAAAACACAGCGGCGCCGCCCCAGATTGGGGCTTTGTCGCTTTTAAGAAGGTAAAAGCGTCGGCGCCCCAGACTGGGGCTTTGTCGCTGCCATTTTGTTCCACTCCAGCACCACCCATCACCATATATACTGCACCTTTCCTTCGGTTCTTCATCACCAAAAAACTGAAAGAAGCTCTGGTGTTGCTGTCTGGTTGCTGGGAAGATGGCTAATAACAGGTAAGAGTCGTATTTTTTTTTCATGTATTCATCATAATGATTTTGTCCAGTTAGTAATTAGTGAGTTTGTTTTTTATGTAGTGGTTTTAGAAGATTTGAACTAGCTGTTCGGTGGCGATCAGAGAAAGTAGAAGACAATTTGGGTGTCCATTTTGTTGGTGGTCTAAGTTTCCAGATGACTATTCCATCCAGGGTGAACTATCAGAAACTTTGTGATCATCTAATTCGGAGAATACGGATTAGAGATGAAATAGTACAAGATAGTGTTGTGATTACAGGTTTCACCTACTGTCTTCCAGAATGGCAGAATGGTGTTTTATTTCATTATTCAATGCCTATTGTCGATGATGATAGGTTAAATGTGCTTTGGAATTTTATGGCACAAAATCCTTATTGTTTGGGTGCTGAGATACATGCTGAGCTCAGTGAGGATCGGGGTGGAGAGGATGACGGTGATGACACATGGAGCATGCCATCCGATCATGATTATGATGACGGTGATGACGGAGATGAGGAAGACGATGATGAGGAGGAGGAGGAGGAGGACGACGACGGGGAGGGAGGAGAACAACCTAATTATCCTCCATATTTTTACTTACAGGGTAATGAAGAGGACGAGGAATTATCATATGCTGATTCATATGACGTAATTCCAGGGTCTACTGTTGGTGGTTTTGATGGAGAATTCTACAAGGGGCAAATATTTCACTCGAAACAAGCTGCACAGGTGGCGATGAAACACTATGCACTACAACGCAACTTTCAGTATAACGTGGTGGAGTCGTCACCTTCAATCTGGAAGATCAGATGTTTGATGCACAAGGAGGACAAATGTCCTTGGATGGTGCGGTTTGGATGTCGAGAAATGGGAGGCGATTGGAGCGTGAGAAAGGTCGAGTTGGTGCATACCTGTAGCAGTACGACTCAACCGACGGATCATCGCCATCTTGATGTCGACGTGATATCTGAGGCCGTCAAACACTTGGTACGTGCCCAACCAAATCTGAGTGTTCTAACTATTCAAGCCGAGTTGAAAGTTAAGTTTAATATGCAAGTTACTTACAAGAAGGCTTGGTATGGGAAACAAAGAGCATTGGAGAAGTTGCATGGAAATTGGGAAGAATCCTATGATTTTTTGCAAACATTCTTGCGGGTGGTCAAGAGAAAAGTGCCAACATCGGTGATTGATTGGGTAAGAGTTCCTTCGACTCAACCAGGTCATTCAATATTTCAGCGAGTATTCTGGGCTTATGGACCTTATATAGATGGATTCAAGAATTGTCCAGGCGTTATGGTTGTTGATGGAACATTTCTTACTGGGAAGTATAAAGGAGTGCTACTCATGGCGAGCTCATTTGATGGACGGTAGAAGATTTTTCCAATTGCATTTGCCATAGTGGAGAGTGAGAATACTGATAGTTGGCCATGGTTCATAAGTCACGTTCAGGGTTTGACTGATCGAAATGATGTATGCATCATCTCAGATAGACATGCAGGACTCTATGAAGCCATGAATAACATCGGAAGAGGTTGGGAGTGGAGGTGGTGCATGCGACACTATGCAAGCAATTTGCAAAGGAAGAATAAAAGCAGAATTATGTATAATCAACTATTTCGAGTCGGTAAGCTTTCTTCATATAATTTTGTTACTTGTTTTCATGTAATTTTGTCATGAATTTATCTAACCCGTGTGGTGGTTTATTTTATTTTGTTAGCCGGAGAAAAACGGTTGGAGAAGTTTGATCGTCAAGTTGAGCAATTTAAGAAGGTGGCCGCTGATAGAAATATTTCATGTGATAACTGGGTGGATCAACATCAGATTCGTTGGAGTTTAGCACACGATAACTACAATGGTGGGCGTCGTTGGTCTATCCTGACATCCAACATGGCAGAAAGCGTCAATGGTATTTTCAAAGGTATTCGTGCACTTCCTATAGCTTCTCTTGTGCAACATACCTATTGGCGATTGGTGGAGAAATTCGATAAGTACAGGTTGGAGACAGGAGCAGAAATTAGAAGTGGTCCTTCACAGTACTCCACCAAGTGCGAAGAGATGATGAAGGCGTGGTCACAAAAGGCAGTTGGACATTCTGTGACAGCTCTTGATCGACGTCAAGGCATCTATGTAGTTCAGACTCCTCCCAACAATTTCAACATGACGGGGTCAAACACACTCACAGTGCACTTTGACGACCCCAACCGGACGGGATTTTGCACCTGTGGTAAATTTCAAGGAAATAAAATTCCTTGCTCTCATGCCATTGCAGCTTGCAACCGAATGGGTGTTAATGCGTATAGGTTTGTCAACAATGTCTACAAGCTGGAAACAGTGATGGCTTGTTATGGGACAAGTTTCGTACCTCTTGGCGAACCTAAGGGTTGGAAGAATCATAATGACCCTACTCTCCATCCTAATCTGGACATGATTAGAAAGCCGGGGAGGCCAAGATCAACACGAATTCACAACGAGATGGATTGGCCAAGGGAGGGTTCATCACAGCAAGTGTGTAGCAACTGTAACCAAACGTAAACCCTGCTCAACGGACTCCATGCAGTCGTACTGCAATTCAAATGAAAAATATCAGAAATTCTATACATCTAAAAACAATTAAAACACAAATTTTAATTACTAAAAAAACTCACCGCTGCGTTCAGTGCTGCAACTCTCCGTGTGCCTGAACGTCTAGTGACATCTCTATACCACACTTGATGCTCCAAGTGGTAAGCTAATTCTACGTCAGTGTAGCTCGTCTGCGCTACGAACTCATGTCGACGGTTCCACAACTCAATCGACTCACTGGTTGCCTGTATGAACTGCTGTCCACGTGAAGGCCC